ATGGGACCCGGTGGCTGGGGCAGTGCTCGAGGCAGCACCTGGGGAAGGTGGGTCTGGGTTCCCCACCACCCTCTGCCAGTTCCAGCCCAGTGGCTTCTCTCTCTTTCTGCTCTTCCCTCGCTGCTTCCTGCACCGTGGGTCTCGCTGATCTTCCTTCCTGTCACCACAGGGCTGACAAATATGCAAATCGATGTGAGTTATCAGCTGAAAACCAGCAGCACGGGGCAGCTGCCCACAGCCCCTCTGACTCCCAGCAGCAACAGCCAGGTCTGTCCTGGTGGGATGCTCCATGCGTGGACACTTCCCCAGCGGCCGAGTGGGACCATGAGGAGCCAAAGGGGCTGTGAGGGGCTGAGAGGAGCAAGAGGGCCCAAAAGGGCCAAGCTGTGAGGGGCCATGAGGGGCCCAAGGGGCCATGAGTGGCTGAGCCTTGAAGGACTGAGCAGGGCCTTGAGGGGCTGCCAGAGGAGCTGAGGGGCAGCTGGAGGAAAGCAAAGGAGGAGGCAGAAATGGTCAGGTTGACTGGTTCTGGGGAGGAAAGGTGGGGGGGCAAGCAGAAATTTGGATCTCAGGCCACCACGCTGTGTCTCCCAAGGATTGCTCCAGCACAAGCCTTGCTCTCCACCAGTGCCAGGGCTGTGCACAGTAAGGGGTTAAAACCTTTCCTCTGGAAAGTTTTAGGTCTGTTGGTAATTTCCCATATCAGAAGGCCGGTTTCAAGAGGATCTGGCACCTGGGAAGTCCCACCAATCATCCCCTTACCGATAATCTGTAGCTGAAGATCCCTCCCATCCAAAATGACTGTGCAGAAGCCCCATGCATCTGAATGATTTCTTTGCCACTGTGTATAACATGCCACGTGCATTTTCCAGGCTGCTTACTTGATTCAACCCCAGATTTCCCACTGTATTTACTAAGCTCAACATGTGGCATTTTTTTTGACTGCAGCCCCTCTGGAAGCTGGAGAGGTAACATGGAGCTCACAGGGGAGGTGACGGTGAGGTGAGAAAAGCCCTAGAGTTGACTCTTGTTTGTTGACTCACACAGTTGCTTGGTAAGAGGCTGCTTGGGAACCACCCTCAGCTCAGCCCAACGCAGTCACCTGCTCGGGGATAAGAAACAGTCCCAGCTCCAGAGGGAGCAACGAGATGCACCAAGAAAATGTGGAAAGCACGTTTTCAGAGGTCCTGCCACCCCTCCTGCTAGGGCAGCACAGGAGTTTGTGAGACTCAGGGGGTCCCCAGGGTGGAAGGGACACAACCCCAGCCATCTCCCAGTGGGTTACGCGGTGAGTCCTGGGTTTTTAGGCGGGTTTCCTGAGGAGAGAGCAGGCAGCTCGGACTGGGATGCAGATGGGCATCGGGTGGGGATGGGGATGGGGATGGGGAT